AAAATTAATAATTTAAATATATTAAATTTAATTATTTATTTCATATGAAAATGATTAAGATTTATAAAATAAAGTGAAAATACATTTTGAGTATGCTCGATCCACGTTGATGTCATAATTATTTGAACATATGTGATAAAGGGATAAAAGAATGAAAATACACATACCTTGCGCAACAGTGGGTGCAACGCTCCCTTCTATGGGCGAAACGGGTAACTGTATAGTCGTTGGAGATGGCGTGTTTCTTCCACGACCCCAGCTTTCGAATCCTTTGGCAACGCTGGTAATGTACTTGTTGCACAGGGCCTTCTTAACCATGTAACACCGCGGCATCTTGAAGATTTATTTTCGTTTATCGCGAATAATAAAAGAATGTTATAGATTCAGGTATATGTGTTTAGACAATTCCTAGGATTTCGTATAGCAGTAGCAGTAATAGCATTAATAGTAGTAGTAGTAGTAGTAGTAGAAGTAGTAGTAGTAGTAGTAGTAGTAGTAATAGTAGTAGTAGTATCAGTTAAAATAATCGATTTCTTCTTTTGTACTACACTACATTGATATAATATTTCAAAGACTTTATAATATACCCTTTTTCGTTTTTTATATTTTTTTATTTGAAATTTTTAATCAAGCAAAATCCTGTTTATATTCCCATCATATTTAACGGGCATATGAAACGTGAGAAACGTTGGGGTCACATCAATTTCATCTCGTTTTCATGTTCCTTTTATTTTTACTTCCCTTCCTTCCTACTTTTCAACGTTCAAATTGAATATTTAAATAACGAAATTGAATATAACGTAGGTAGCAACGTTATCTTCTAATATGCTTTCGATCACAAGCCTTTGAGTCCTTTGATCAACGCATCAACGTATCATTCTGTTCATGAACTTCCTTTTGCGAATCTTTAAATACGCCATCGTCGTATCCTGCATATCCACTTATATTTTATTCTACCCCAAAAGTGGGTTGTAGTTTTTTTTTTTTTTTTACAAAATTAATCGTCTTTCTTCTTCCTTTTTATCTTCTTCCTCTTCTTCTTCTTCTTCTTCTTCTTCTTTAATTATAAAATCGTCGACGTCCAAAACTATCATCGAAGTTTAATCTCGTACAATATTAACGCTTTATTATTAATATTATTATTATTATTAACGATGATGATCTTTATTCCTCGATAATGATCTAAAT